AGCAAGATGCCGACGCCGACCCGGACGTGGTACAGGGTATGTACACTATCTGTGACCATATTGCTCATGTTTTATTTGACACTGGTGCATCGCATTCATTTGTTTCACATGTTTTTGCTTCAAAACTTAATGTATCACCTGATAAACTTGATTCATTATTGTTTGTATCTACTGCTGGGGTGAAACACTATTAGGGGAAGTTATCTACAGGGCTTGTGCCGTGGAGATAGCAAATAGAAAACTGAGTATAGACCTGATAGGGCTAGACACGGGGGATTTTGATGTAATCTTAGGAATGGATTGGTTAGCGGCGCATCACGCTACTATAGATTGCTTTAACAAGAAGGTTGTATTTAATCTTCCAATGATGAGCCATTTACAAATTAATAAAATCATTTAGTACTTATTCCTTGATTGTAAGTTTTCTTAATTTTTTAGTATCTTAATCTTGCTATTTTCTCTAACTAAGCAAGCCCAAGAAGGAAATTTGTATCCAAGAGATTCCGGTAGTTCGAGACTTTCCAGATGTGTTTCTGGACGAACTACCTGGACTGCTAGTGGACAGGGAAGTCGAGTTCCCTATAGACTTATAGCCAGGCACCTAGCCCATTTCGATTGCTCCTTACCGCATGAGTCGCATTGAGATGGAAGAGCTGAGGAAACAGATCACTGAATTGCAAGACAGTGGTTTTATTAGACACAGTCTGTCCCCTTGGGGTGCCGGAGTCACTTTTGCAAGGAAGGGAGATGGAACGTTGAGACTGTGTATTGATTACAGAGAATTGAACAAGGCTACGATCAAGAACAAATATCCCTTTCCCAGAATTGATGACCTCTTCGATCAGCTGCAGGGTGCACAAGTCTTCTCTAAAATAGACCTGCGATCAGGTTACCATCAGGTGAAGATAAGAACATAAGACATCCCCAAGACGGCATTTCGAACTATGTACGGACACTATGAGTTCCTGGTCATACCATTTGTGCTAACCAACTCCCCGTCAATCTTTATGGATCTGATGAACAGAGTCTTCAAGAGTTTTTGGATCAATTTGTTATCGTGTTCATCGATGACATCTTAGTCTACTCAAAAAATCAGAGAAGAACATGCTCCCCATCTTGCCCAAGTTTTGCAGGTCCTCAGAAATAAGAAGTTATATGCAAAGTTGAGTAAGTGTGGATTCTGGCTTGAGCAGACCGCCTTCCTAGGACACATCATATCGAAGGAATGAGTATCAGTGAATCCTGAAAAGGTTGAAGCAGTACTTGGCTGGGAGAAGTTGACATCAGTTAAGGAAATTCGGAGTTTCCTGGAGATGGCAGGTTATTACCGCAGGTTTGTTGAAGGATTCTCCAGCCTAGCAGCTCCTCTAACCCGACTCACAAAGAAGAATGCCAAATTTAAGAGGAATGAGGACTGCGAAAGAAGTTTTTTAGAATTAAAGAAGCGGCTGACTACTGCACCCGTACTGGCTTTACCGAGTGGATCGGGAGGATATACAGTTTATAGTGATGCCTTCTATCTATGCCTGGGTTGTGTCCTGATGCAGCATAGAAAGGTCAATAGCATGTGGGTCCAGGCAGTTAAAAAATCATAAGAAGAATTATCCCACCCATGACTTGGAGCTTGCCGCAATCATAGACGCCTTGAAAACCTGGCGCCACTACTTATACGGAGAGACCTTTCAGATCTATACAGATCATAAGAGTTGGAAACATATATTCACTCAGAAGGATCTCAACATGCATAAGAGAAGGTGGATGGAACTCCGTAAAGACTATGATTGTGATATCTTATACCATCCGGGTAAGGGCAACGTGGTAGCAGATGTTTTCAATAGGAAAAGTGCAGGTATCTTAGCCCATTTAATGGTTTCAGAATGTAGGCAAATTAGGGCCACACAACAGGTTCAACTCCAGAACTTGAGGAGAGTCACATGTTTGGGCCGCCTAACAGTCCAGCCCGAGTTAATCCAGAGAATAAGGGAAGCCCAGTCAGTCGACCTTGCCCTGGTAGCCCGCAAGAAGGATGCAGAACAGGGAGTGAGCTCAAAATTTCAAATCTCTGCCGATGGATTACTCCGTTTCCAAGACAGGATGTGTGTCCCAGATGACAGTGAGTTAAAGAGAGACATCATGACAGAGTCCCATAGCTCGAAGTTTGCCATGCATCCAGGAAGCACCAAAATGTACCAAGGCATGCGACCCCGGTTTTGGTGGAATGGGATGAAGAGAGACATAGCCGACTTTGTATCCAAGTGCTTGGTATGTCAGCAGGTCAAGGCAGAGCATCAGCGCCCAGGTGGGTTACTTCAGCCGTTACCGATTTCGGAGTGGAAGTGGGAACACATCACCATGGACTTCGTAACGGGATTACCTAAGGCATGTTTAGGACATGACACCATCTGGGTAATCGTTGACCGGCTTACCAAATCTTCCAACTTCTTGGCCAACAGAATGACCGACCCCTTGGACAAGTTGGCAAGAATATATATCTGGGAAATAGTCAGATTGCACGGAGTTCCAGTGACAATGGTATCCGACAGGAACCCCAGGTTCACTTCTCAGTTTTGGAGTAGCTTTCAGCAAGCCATGGGAATAAAGCTGTCTCTCAGTACTGCCTTCCATCCTCAGACTGATGAACAATCAAAGACAATTCGTACACTTGAGGATATGCTCCGAGCATGTGTCCTTGACTCCGGGGGCCATTGGGACGATCATCTACCCCTGATAGAGTTTGCTTACAACAACAGCTACCAAGCAAGCATCGGCATGGCTCCATATGAGGCGTTATATGGGCGCCCGTGCATATCACCTATTTGTTGGGAAGAAGTGGGCGATAAAAGATTGTTCGGCCCAAAGTTGGTAGAGGAGACCACGTCTAAAATAGTTAAAATCAGAAAGAACATTCAGACGGCTCAAAGCAGGCAAAAGAGTTATGCGGACACCCGAATGAGAGATCTAGCGTTTGAGAAAGGCGACCGGGTGTTCCTTAAGGTCACTCATTTCAAAGGAATTAGTAGGTTCGGCAGGAGGGGAAAATTGAACCCCCGATTAATCGGACCTTTTGAAATTTTAGACATGATTGATACTGCTGCCTACAGACTAGCACTGCCTCCAGAGCTCTCCAGAGTCCACAATGTGTTCCACGTATCCATGCTACGTAAGTACAACCCGGACCCCTCTCATGTCTTGGCTCATGAACTGCTTCCACTCAAAGAGGACTTATCTTATGAAGAAGTACCAGTCGGTATCACGGACCGAAAGAGCAAGATACTCTGCAACCAGAAAATATCATTTGTAAAGGTTGTGTGGCAGAACCACACGCCCAGAGAGGCTACCTGGGAGCTAGAATCAGATTTTAGTGCCCAGTATCCCCATTTGTTCGACCAAGAGTAAGAGACAAATTTGGGGAACCAAATTTTTTTAAGGGGGGAGAGTTGTAACACCCAATTTATTATTTTTATTTTTTCTTATTATTATATATATTAGAATTTTAGTTTAATTTTTTAATATTTAATTTATAAGGTTTTAGTTTAATTTAGTTTAATTTAATGAAAATAAAAATAATAATGATGATAAAATAAGGTAAAATTATTTTTGGGATTTAATTGAAATTAATTTTGGAAAAAAAGGATGAAAATTTGGATTATGGAGGTGTTTTTTAGAAGAAAATCAGAAAGTTGCGCCACGTCAGCAGCCATGTTAGTAGCTCAGTCAGCGGCCCCGGCCAACCAGAACATGCCGCGTGGCAAGAAAGCTGACGTGGGAGACCACGCGGACGGAGCCACGTGAGCGATCCGCGTGCACTCGATCGAACGGTCAATATCTCATGTGTGCGGATGGAACAGATCTCACGTGCATGGACGGCCCAGATCTTATGCGTGCGGACGGTCAAGATTGAATCACGCACGGACGGCCCAAATCGCATCCCGATGGACGGCCCAGATTTATTCTCATTTTAACTGCGATCGGACGACCCAGATTAAAACGTGATGGACGGTTGAGATTAAAAGGGGAAGGTTATAAATAACCTCACCCACACCCGACCCCAAACCCTAGCTGCCAGTGCCTCGCTGGAGAAGAAGAACCAGACGCTGGAGGAGCCGGCTGCCGCCACCGCACCGAGGGTTTTTCGACCGCCAAACGAGGTAAATTTTCTCTCCTTGGCTCGTTTTTCGATGTTGAATCTGCCTATGACCAAATCGAAGCCAAACCACCGGCCAGTCGGCCGGAAAACACCGCCGAAGTCCAACAGCACCACTGCAGTTTCCCTCGATTTTTGCCTCCGATGAGGTCCTTTCCGGTTTCCGTTCGATGCAATTTTTACACCATTGTGATCACAGTTCTTTTCTCTACAAGTTGACCGGAGTAAAACATCAAATCGTGACTCGCGCTGGAGAAGCCGTCGCACCCGAGAGCTCCGCCGCCGGTAAGTCTCGGTTTTTCATGATTTTTTGGCCCACCGAGGGCCCTAGAGTTGTTTTATCGCAGGAACCAATGCAAGTTTGGCCGAATTTGGCCGAAAACGGCCAACTCGAGGTGGATCGCCGCCACGGGCAGCGGTGCCGTCGCCGGAGCACGGCGGAGCCCCTGTGTCGGAATTCCGATATTGGCCGAAAAAGGGCCTTGGGTCTAATTTGGGGTTTTTTGGGACACGTGCAGGTACCGATAGTGCGTTTCAGTTTTCCGGAGAAAATTCAGGGAATTTAGGGACAGCCCGCACGCGCATTGTAGAGCCGATTTCAGACCCCGAAACAAGTAAGGATCTCTCACCCTATTTGCTATCACGACATTAAAGTCTAATAAATGATAAAACGGTATTTTATGATTTAATAGATATGTATAATTGATTAAGTTGCCAATGGAGCCCGAATCTGATATATTGTCGGTCAGTTGTTGTTTGATCTATTTTTATA